CAAACAGGCTTAAATGTTCTTCCCCTCTGTTTATAGCTGCTTCCAATCCTTTCTTTTTTAAGCTGTTTTCAGTAGTGAGCTGGTGGCTGAAGACTAATAGAGTGATGAATTTTTGGATGCTTAGTGTTTGAACTGTTTATGAGAGACTGTATTAGACAAACACTCGGATTAATAAATGCTACTTTCTGTTTGGCTTAAGTGATGTTTTTGTTTGCTTGATGTTGGTTTGTTGTTTTTTTAAAAAAACTTCTGGTGTAACTGATTGTTACCTTTCCTTGCCTCTGATGCAATACAAATTAGCATCTAAAAACTTAAAGCAAATCATTCCTGTTCTTTCTTGACAGGACCAGAAAGCTGTTAGTTTATGATTTCAGCAAGTAATTGTGTTGTAAACTGGTATTAAATTTAACTGTGCATTTATGGCTGAGAAGATGAGTGATGTTTTGCCACTCTTTAGTTAAGCTGTTACCATCATTAAAAATAAAGCTCTGGCTGTTTCCAGCTTAAACTAGAAAAATGCAGCAGTGGAGCCACAGGGAGCGTGAGTTCTGAGAAGTGGGAAGCAAAGGGGCTGGCACTGACTGCTCAGTTTGGTTGCATGTGGGAAGGCAGCTTGCTTATGCAGCAAGCAGTCATTTGCTACTGGATTTGTTGAGGCTTGGATGCTTTTGTGAGAAGAGCAGCTCGTTGCCTTAAGAATTCACCTTCACGGTCTTGCTTGTACTTTTGGGTGAGGCATCCTCGGTCATTCTTTGAACGTTCTTTGAATTTTCTTCACCGTTTGAATAACTTCTGTAACCTTTTTGTAAGCAACTGGTGGAGAGGAATTGTGTGAGGCTTCTTCAGAGCTTTTCTGTCAATTTGTTTTTGAAAAGTGGTATTCCTGTCGTTTATTATATCACCTGGGATCATAGTCCTGCATTCACAGTCACGTGCCACTGTTTCAGATCTCCAATAGAAGCGTATGCATATTTTCATGCAAAACAAGCAGCTAGTTAGTGGTTTAAGTGTTTGGTTTATTTTTTGGCTAATTTTACTGAACTTATACAGAGAAGCTTGTGAGAATTTTCCAGTAAAATTACGATTACTACAGTCTTAATGTGAAACTGGCAGTAAACCATGGCATGTGGTGTGGAAGCGAGGCTGTCTGTTGATGTTGTTGTACTTCCACTTTTCTGTAGCTTTTCCAAAACTGGTGCAAAACTGTACCTATATGTCATCCTGTACATGCTACCACTGTCTTCTGGCATGGGTGCTCGATCCTTAAATAGTGCTTAACCTGCGAAATGCTGTGTGACTAATCTTCCCTGGGGAGGAGCAGGAGCTATCACAACTTTATATTTGGAAACTGGGGCACAGTGGTGATACACTGGAGCTACACCGGAAACCTGTGGCGGAGCCAGGGACTACTAGTCATGGCTGTAATTCAAGACTCATCCTTTCCAAGTGGGTGTGCAGTGCACCCCTGAACCAGCCTTTGTGCAAACGTTTTCACATAAAGCCTTGGGAATTGACTTCTTGGGAAAATACCTATTTTCTCCTAAGCCACCTGGAAAATGAAAAATAGAGCAGCTGGCTCCAGGAAAGCGTGGGTTCTGCTTTGGGTATTTTAAAAGCAGTTTGAGATGCAACTTGGTGTATACCTTAACAAAGGGAAGCGCCACTGAAACTGGGTGTAAGCAAAAAGCTGCAGAGCTGTAGATAGGCAGTGCAGCAGAAGAAATGCGAACATCATAAAGCCCTTATGCTTAGAGCAGCACTAGGGAACATTTTTAGCATTTTGTATTCTTAAATATTAAACACCACTTGATAAGGTGAAACTTGATGTGGTCATAACTTATTAGTGAGAGATGGGTTAGTTCCAAAAGCTTAGTTCTGCTTCTGGAAATACTGTCAGATGAAGCATTTGCCTGTTGTGGAATGGTTGGTTTCAGTGGCTGAGCTAAAGAGGAAGGTCAGTGTTGGGTCTGCTGCTGGGTTGCTGCAGAGGAGTCTCCTCCCTTTTCTGTACAAACGCGCTGTGTCACAGCCGTATGTCTGTGCCTGCCCAGTTTCTAGTTCTTCCAGTTCGCCCCTTGCGTTCAGCAGAGCTGTAGCTTTCAGAAGCAGGCACCTCTGAAAGTTGTGGAGAGAACTTTGTGTCCTGTTTTTAGAAAAACCCTCCCTCCTTTTGTGTAGCTGTGAGGTGTCACACACTACCAACTGAGTAAATATCAGCTTGGTGTTACTGGGAGCAGGAAGAACTGGCTGCTGTTGCTTGTATCTGCCTCAGTTCTTCTCCAACACTTACACTGCTGAGACAAACAGCTTCCTTCCCAATTTTATTCTTATAGCTGTGGTACCTAAGGGATCATGAAGAGAATACAAGAATGAGTGCTAACTCTCTTGTATTTCTGACTTTAGTCAGTAAATCATTTGTTCTGTGGTGGAAATACTGAGTAATGTATCATGTTCCTAGCCTTATCTCTACTTTGAATTTCTTTGTTTAGCACAGTTAGGTTTTTTTTTTTGTACTTCAGTGTTTTGGACCAGACAAAGCTTGAGACCTTTAGTTTATGAAAATCATGGCTTGCCTGTTCCCCAGACTCGTTTCCGTAGTTAAAAGGGCTAACTCTCTATGGACCTGTATTTTGAGTCTTCGATTACTGGAGCGTGCAAGCTCGCGTGTTTCAGTTTGAAAATTACTGAAGCCTTTTTTTCTTTCATGAAGTTTTTACTGACACTTCTTAAATATTTTTCTTACATTTGCAGTCCTGCTTACTTGCTTTTCCTGCTGGAATTATTGATGTACTCAAATCTCTCTTCTGTTTTAAAATATATTTGTCAACTGCTTTTTAAGCTGAATGCTGTTTTTTCTCTGAAGACAATAGTACTTTCAGAAGAACTCTGTAGCCTGTTGTACCTCTGGCTTTCCACTTGTAGGCTGGTCTTTTCTTGCCCTCCTGTCTTCGTAATTTCTATGAACTTTGTGAAGAGCCATTTCATAGTTCCTAGTCCCCATAATAGTTTTCCAGAAATAGGATCATTTTCCCAGATTAAATCAAATAATGCAGTAATAACAGCATAAGTACATTAAAATACAACAATAGTCTTTTTGCATCTTCCTTTGCTGCAGTTTATTTTAAGGGACAAAACACAGCCAGGGGAATTTTTTTCCCGGATATCATAAACAATCAACTGATAGTTCTTGTAATTGGAAAGACATTCAGATGAGAAGTCAGCCTGCTTACCAGGACTTCCTTTATTTGCTAAGTGTATGTTGAGGGGAAACCTGAAAATAACAAACAAACAAAAAAAAACCTTTCAATATGAAAGTTTTTACATTTCTTCTTTGTCTTTACATAGATGGTCTAAATCTAACCTAGCAAGTCCATGGAGCAACACGTGGACCAGAGCAGAGATTTCATTGCAGAAATAAGAATGTCCCAGGGACCCCCCATCAATAACAGGGAAGTGCTGTATAATAGAAGAGTGCTCTGTGAAGGAGTTTTCTGTGCTGTAGAGAGAGCTGTTGTCTGCTCTCACAGATGACTGCAGCACTGAAATGGATGAGAACACTCATTCCACTGTGCCATTGCTTATGAAAACTGATACAATTCCATTTTTTTCTGCACAGTCTCATCCCAGTGCAAAATTCAAATCTTGTTAATTAGAAAGGTGATGAAAGCACATATAAGGAGGGGAAATGATGATCTCCGGTGTTCTTAGAACCTACATATGTTGGAGTAGTGTTTTTCTCTCTTCCTGTGTTTGCAAGAACAAGGTATTCGTGTTGGAAGGAATGCATTTTTCTTCTCATTTTGTTTTGGTTTACATTTACTAACTTTTCATCAAGTATAGAATTTGTCAAATCTAAAAGATAGACAGCAGAGTTTTCCCAGGGAGACCTGGTTGCTATCTGGTCCAAATGTGTGTGTGTTTCCAACCTAGTAAGTGTGTCTGCGTTCCTTAAAAGTCTGAGAATGTAATGGAAAGTTCTTGTTTTAATGGCTTGTGTGGGCCTGTAGTAAATGACTTGGGTGCGACTGCTAGTATCTGGGAGAAGGACTGAAGGCTTTCCCCATTCTTGTGACTTGGAAAGCCTTGACAAGTGCAGTTTTACACAAGTTCCTGAAGCCATTATTAGCTTTGAAAAGCAGCGGGGGGGAGAGAAGTTATTTACTGCGTTCTGTAACTGAAAGCCAACATCTTCTTAGAAAACACACCATCCAGTCAAGTAACTACAGAGTGTTTAAATGAATCCAGGACTTCTGAGATTCATCACTGTGATCTTGGTACTAGACAAGGAAACCTTCATTCTGAGTTTCTGTTTTGGTTCCTTGTGAAACAAGGGAACGGGGGGATCTGCTTTCTGCATCTTAGTTATTCAGAATTTTAAAGGCACAATTGTCATGAATGTAAAGTTTAAAATAAAATGTGTAGATGCTTTGCCTGGTTCTGATATTTGTCAGTATCTTCAATTCATTTGTCTGCTTTATCTTACGAAAAATGTATTCTTGCTAGAGGCAGTGGGAAAAAAAGCAACTGAGTTTCTGGTTGGTCTGAATGTTAGTATTGAATGCTATACACACAGTGCTTTCTGTGTCATGAAAGCTAACCATAGCTTTCTCATTCCCAGCTTAACGCTTCTCTGGCTAAGACTTAATCCTTGGAAATCATGATCAGAAACTGGTTAGACTTAGCCCACTTCAGGCTCAGTGACCTGTTCTCTTTGTCCCTTTTCCAACAGGAGTGTCTTAAGAGGAATAAAAAGTAGCGATATTTGAAAAAGTGTAGCTACCTTAATTGTTGACCTTTGTGTTCAGTTTAGCCGGTTGTCTTTTACAAAGATGTTTCTGATATTGATCTGTTGATTTAATAGTTGTCACTGCACATTCTTCTGCATTTGTACATGGAAAAACTTTGAGAGGTTTTTGTTGGCCATGAGTTGAAAATGACTGTTGAATTCTTTAGCATTTCTTCTCTGAACAGATCTTTTTTTTTGTTTGTTTCTTCCTAAGGAACTTAGTGACTTAGCTCGTGATCCTCCAGCACAGTGTTCAGCAGGTCCTGTTGGAGATGACAGTAAGTAATCTTAGGTTTTTAGTTTTGCTCTATTAACACAAAGCATACCATGCCTAGATAATAATGTGGAGTTTTTCTTTTGTAGTGTTTCATTGGCAAGCCACAATTATGGGACCTGTAAGTATTCTAATTCTTGTGATGTAATGTTCAACTAGTAGATCCTATTCAGGAAGAACCTGTGTGTTTTTTCCCTGTTTTGCTTTTTTGTTTTAAAACTCTCATTATCAGGCAGTAGGTCTAGAGGTATTTCTTATAGTTACAGAAAATAAAAGAGGAAAAATAATCAGTCTGAACACAATTTTGCCGCTGGGGTATTTATACCAGAACTCATATTGGGGATAGAATAATTTCTAGAACAATCTTGGCTGTTATCACCTTATTTCTAGAAAGTTTGTTTGCATTTAACTGTTTCTACACTTAGAGTTATGACTGAGGAGAATCCTGTGTGTTAAATGTACAGTACACAACTGAAACCTGAGTATTCATATTTCCTTGTTAAAGAAGGCAAATACTTGTTCTAACTAAAAACATAACATGCAAGCGCTTGATATCTGCAATTCTCAGGGCTAATTAGCTATATTTAGAAAACTTTTTATAACTTGAGACCAGTATCAGATGCCAGTAGGCCTGGAGCCCCAGAATTGTGCTTCTGGTGAGGCTTAGAGGAATTAAGTATCAATGATGCTGAATTGTCCTACTTCTATATAGCTACAAGCGTGTTTTAAGTAGATCACCACTGAAAGTTTGCATGTCAGAGGTTGACTTCATTGGAAAAATGACTTCATTCTCAAGTTCCTGGTCCTCACTGATTGTAACTAAGTGCCTCAAAAGGATAAAAATCATTTGAAATACAAGACATGTTCTGTGCTGCATTGCTTTTGATTTTATGTACCTGGTGTCTGCATGGTCATAAGGTATTAAACATCAGTTGAATCTTAAAATGGCGTTATTATTTTTAGCTCGTGGTTTAACAATGTACAGCTCCTTTCTTTCCCTTTGTGGTTTCTTTGGTGTCAATCAGAAAGATCTGTATTCCTGCTTCAAAATTGGCCTGACAGTGTGATGTTAGCTCTAGTGCTCGCCTGGTGCTGTTTAGTGCCTTCAAGGGTAGTACCAGTCACCTGGCATTCCTGCTCTGCGGATATTACAAAGGCTGTGATTTTCTTAATAAGATACAAGAGTGCTTGTATTTGTCAACTTCAGTTTTAACGTATTCTGGGAGAAGGTTGCTCCCACACTTGCTAAAATGTGAAGAAAAGGGGTTGTTCCTTAAAGCCTCATGTAGTACCCTTGACCACATACAAGAGGTTACATCTGTTGCTGGGTTTTTGATACAGAACTGTGCAGGAGTTACAACCTGTGTGTTTTTATGTTTTAGTCCCATGTGTTGTACTGCAGTATTTCATTTGCTTCTATGTAACTGAGAAAGACATAGTGTCGTCTTACACTGGTGTGAAATGTTTGTACAGTGAATATAAAGATTCAGATAACAAGTAATTCAGAAGTGTACAGTGTCCCACATTCATTTTTGATAGCCGTGCTCCTGGAGTTGTGTTGTAGTTTTCACTTTAAACAGCGGTAATGTGCAGTACACTCCCATACCTGCTGATGTTGAAGTTCTGTTCTGTAAAAGAGGAAGAAATCTCTTTAATCTCAATGTGTTTTGTTAATCTTGATGCTTTTCTTTTTACTCTCTTCCTCTGCCCCCCCCGCCCAAAAAAAACCAAAAAAACAAAACAAAAAAAAAAACAAAAAAAAAAAAACCACACACAAAAAAAAACATGGAGCAAGGAGTTAATGAGCTATGTGTTGGTAATATTTTGCAGTGCTAAGCAATACCTAAGCTGAAGGTAGAACTTATGGGAGGCCTTTGGCTGTTGTAAAATTGGGTGGTTATAACAAATATACTCCAAACACTATTTGTTTTTGAACGTGTTAGGCAGCATTTCCACTCTGTTGCCATTTAATTGGGCCATCTCAGGGGAACTGAGGTAATTTTGCCAAATTGTTCTAAGTGAATTGGTAGAGAAGTTTTCTTTGAAGCATCAGCTCAGAGAGGTCCATCTGGAAAGAGAAATGTCTGGTCATTATCACATACCTAAGGAAGTAGTAATTGAATTTTAACTACGTCTGTTACACTGATGTAATAGACAGTTCAACCATTGAAACAAGTTGATTTATGTATTTAAAAACAACATCTTCTTGGAATTTGTTCTAAGGATGATAATAGGGGAATTATTTGTTTACTTTGGCAGAATGACAGTCCATATCAGGGTGGTGTATTCTTCTTGACAATTCACTTTCCTACAGACTACCCTTTCAAACCACCGAAGGTAAGTATCGTTTTCTATTTGTGGTGTTAGCTGTCTTTAAGGAACTAACTAAAGGATAGAAAATGCCAACATCTGTGTTTTAATGATGTGAAGGACTTGTTTTTTTTGTGCATTCTTATAGTATCTTAAATGCCCAGGTCCCTCTCTACAACAGAAGTAGGTATGTTGGCATACATTTTTCAGAGAAAATTAATGAATTCTGAACATCCTGGGTTAGTGTTTCATCTTATTTTTTTTCTTGATTGTTAGGAAAGCTTACTAGCTTTGTATTGCAACAGAATTCTTGCTAAGGGTGCAGTCAAGTCATACAGTATGGCTGTTTGGGTTATTCCATAAAAACATGACTCTTGGTGAGTTCTTGGAGTCGGTGATTGTATCTGTTAGCTTTTGGCTGTAGTTATTAAATAATAATAGCTGGTAAAACTACAGAAAAGTACGTCTGCCAGTTTTCTTACAATATGAAAGTGCATGCTAGAAGTAACCATAACATTTGTAATTCTTTAGCTTCACGATGGCACTGTTGCCATGGTTCAGACACTTTGGTTGAGCATCTTCATCAGCATGCAGTGAACTGTGATTAAAGCACAGCCTACCACTTGCCCTCTCTCTGAATTGGAGTGATAGCTGGATATTGAGAGTACTTACTATGAATCTAGGGTTTAACTGCTCGATTATTTTCTTTAGCAGGAAATTGAGTTGACTGACAGCTTGACTGAGAACAGATGATGTTGTCATAAGTCAAAACAAACTTTTTTTTTTTTTTTTTACAGGTTGCGTTTACAACAAGAATCTATCATCCAAATATTAACAGTAATGGCAGCATTTGTCTCGATATTCTAAGATCACAATGGTCTCCTGCTTTAACTATTTCTAAAGGTAACTTTTGTGAGGAAGAGATGTTTCCATTTGGTGTTGGATACTATGCTTTTAGCTTTAATACTCTTGAGTTTTCCTTTAAATCCAGTCTGTGTTTTTGCCAATGTAATAATCATGTCTTAAGATATTTGTAAATGAAGGTCTGTTTTTTCAAATACCTTCTTCTGACTGGCTGTTTGAAAGCCTTATGTGACTGCTTATTTGCTGCACTATTCTTAGCAGAGCATGCTAGCTTAGTCCCAGAGTAAACTACTAGCATTCGGATTGAAGAAAGATTGTGGTCATGTATTCCAACCTAAAGTGGAGACAGTGCTTGTTTCCTGCCCTCCAAAAGTACATAAAAATACGTACTTGCATATCAATTTAAAGATGACTTTCATTTTTAGTAATGAAGTCTTCATAGTTTGTTGGTTTTTTTTGTTGTTGTTGAGTCTGTCTGGGATTGCATGCTGCGCTGTGTTGTCACATCTGTACAGTTAACAAAAGTGGTTTTTCATAAATGTTGCTTTCAGCTGCTGTGCACTGGCATTGCATGAATTTCATGAACTAAACTTTGTGGTTATACTTTAGGATACATTGGTGTTATGCTGCAGTAGAAGCTTTGTCTTTTTTTTTTTCCATTTTAATGTACTAAATAACATTGAGTGCTCGAATGTTTTCATGATGATCAAATTCTTTTTTGCTTCAAAGGTACTGGTCACTGTAGCTTCAAAAGATCCATTGAAGTACTCCTTTGTTTACAGAACTTGTAATTCCTGTCTGTGCAAGGTGTAGGTTTGTGATCTGGATGTGGATACCCTACTTTTTAATGTTGTCACTATTGTTTTTCTGTGAGAGTGGACGTTGCAGACTGCATCAGTGTTACTCTTCTTTACAACCTACCTGCAGCTTTATCAGTGCGGAACAGAGTAAATTGTCTTTAGTACAGAGAAAAAAAATCAATGTGATCAGAAGTAAATGAATAAGACTTAGTTTTGGTAATTAAAACATGGAATATTCTTGTCATCAGAATACATAACATGCTTTAAATTGACTGTTGCCTTTCATCACAGCGCAGGGGATAAACAACGGTGCTGTTCTTCTGCTTGTTAACTGAAAGTTACCAGAATTCGTTAAAAAAAAAAAAAAAAAAAAACCAAAGACAACAACATTATGAACTTCTAAGTGATTCATATGTTGTGTTCATATGTATTTATTTATTTAAAATGGGCTGCAAATTTATTTTGGTCATATGTCAGCAGAGATGTTGTTTGAGTTCTCGAGTGTTCTGACATTGTGCTAATACAAAGAACTGTACTTAAATGTGATTGCTCCTATTTTGCAATTGATGTGTGTATATATATATATATATATTTTTTTTTTTTACAGTTCTCTTATCCATTTGTTCACTGTTATGTGATCCAAATCCAGATGACCCTCTAGTGCCAGAGATTGCACGTATCTATAAAACAGACAGAGACAAGTAAGTACAGAGTTGCATAAGAGCAGTATTGTAACAAACTTGGTGAAGAGTGCTTTCTCAAACAGCTGTACCAAGCAAGTCTTTTACTGGGAAATCTGAAGTGCAGAGAGCTGTGTGTCAAAGTAGTATCTATTTTCAATAGTAATTTAAACAACGGGGCTTAGTATCTTTGAAGTAACGGGAGAAGGAAGCCATCTTTTTCTCACAAGTATGGCAGTATTTGAAAGTACATGTTGCCCCTTTTATTGACTTATTATGTGTAAGTAAGACAGATACTTGGAGGAAAAGACAGCTCTGTTGTTTTGATGCCCATTTTAGTAGCAACTTGGTCTTTAATTTGGAAACTTCCCCTTGAACAAAGCTTCATAAGTTGTCCCTATCTGTGTTGAAATGATTGTTTTTATTCCTTACATGTTTTAAACTTCTTCCACGGATATAGTGACATAAATTAGCTTTTGTTTGTTTCATATATTAATGCTAAATATACTTGTCCAATTAGGTACAATAGGTTAGCAAGAGAGTGGACAGAGAAATACGCTATGCTGTAGGGTAAGAATATCTGCACATATCTGTGCATTTAACAAAATGGAACTTGTCAGCACTTGAGTGCTGCATGCTTTAAGGCACTGGATTAACTAACAGATAATGGATGGACCAGTTACTGAACTTGAATATTTAACAGCTTGATCTGTGGTTAGTGTGAAATGTATTGGCCAGTCACTATTTCTCACAGATATTGCTCTTGCATGGCAACAACAAAAAGAGTGAAATAATTACTGAGTTTGAGCCAGCTTGTCAACTTGTTCTGTCAAGTATTTACCCAGATTTTGCCAGAATTTCATTAAAAGTGATGCCCTGGAAGCAGTACAGTGTAATCAGACCTCATGCATAGGTATGCAAAATTTTGGGCAATTCAAATTTCAACTTCTGTTATTCACCAGTGTCTTTTATATATTGCAGACTAGAAAAATGTATGGGGATTATGTTCTGCTTGTATAGTTGAAAATTAACTTCTTACTGACAAGCATGGAGTTAAGTATAAACTAATTGTCAGCTCAGTTCCTGTGGAGGTAGTATACTTAAAGATAACATTGTCCTTTTTAAAAATTATTTCAGCAGTATATTAATGTGGAAAGAAAATACAAAGTATGAAGAAAATTTACTATTATTTTGCTGTTAAACAAGAAATTTGACAAATTCTAAATGCAGTGATATTATTAACCAAGTAATTTTTACTTATGGCATGTGATCGATCCTCTGAAATCTTTATCTAAGAACAATATTTAAACAAAACACTCCCTTTGCCCCTGCTATTCCAAATGGTCTGTATTCCTTCCACTGGAGTAGTTATTCACACCTTCCACTTGAGTAGTTATTCACAGCAGACCTCCAGCAAATATGCTTGACTTGAGTTTGAAGTGTTTCATATAAATTTAAGAACATCTTGGTTAGTCTAGGGAGGGATTTGTTTGAGGTTTTTTCCCTTTATGTTATTAAAAGGAGACTTTTCTTCATGTGAAGACAATCAGGAGATGAGGTGAAAGTAATATTTAATGATTAACGGTTTAGGGAATTGTTATTTTCATCCTGACAGTAACTCAGTTCTTGTTCTTTGCAGGTACAACAGAATATCTCGGGAATGGACTCAGAAGTATGCCATGTGATGCTACCTTAAAGTCAGAATAACCTGCATTATAGCTGGAATAAACTTTAAATTACTGTTCCTTTTTTGATTTTCTTATCCGGCTGCTCCCCTATCAGACCTCATCTTTTTTATTTTTTTGTTTACCTCCTTCCATTCATGCACATGCTCATCTGAGAAGACTTTAGTTCTTCCAGCTTTGGACAATAACTGCTTTTAGAATCTGTAAAGTAGTTACACAAGAACAATTGCCCAAGATTCAGATTTTTTTTTTTTAATGGAGCATGTGTATTATGTGGCCAATGTCTTCATTCTAACTTGGTTATGAGATTAAAAAAATACATTCCTCATTGCTCTAACAGATACTGAAGATACCACCTGAAAGGGGTGAGAGGAGATGGATGTTCAGTTTTCTCCCATCAAAGAAGTAACATTGCTGTAGCAACATCCATCTTGTTACAAACCTAGTGTTAGAGAACTGAGGTTTTATTATATACATTTGCTCATAACTGATATGTCTGGAGAATTGGTACTGAATCTATAGCATCAGCAGAACAGAAAATGTGATGTATCTTATGCATGTCAATAAAGGAATGACCAGTTCTTGTTTTACAGAGAATGGAAATTGGAAGTCAAACATCCCTTGTATTCCAAAATAGGGTCTAAGAACATTTTTGTAATTCATTTAAATTTTGTTAGGAGGCTTGGAGCTATTAGTTAATCTGTCTTCCAAAACACTGTTTAATATAGCACTGAATAAATGATGCAAGTTGTAAATGGATGAGTGATCAACTAATAGCTCTACTAGTAACTGATTTATTTTCTTCAATAAAGTTGCATAAACCAATGAGTTAGCTGCCTGGATTAATCAATATGGGAAACAAAATCTTTTGTAAAAGCAAAGCTGGTTTTTGTATATACTGTTGGGATTTGCCTCATTGTTTAACATCAAATAATGATGTGAAGTTCAATAGAGTGAATCTTTTGCCATTTTCAGTTATAATGCTCAGTCTTTTGCAGGTTGACACATTGTTCGGCCTGATGTATGCAGAATTAATAAGCTAACATAGTAGTGTAGCCTTAGTAGTGTGCTACACGTGGTGCTGGGAGCCCAGCGTTCAAGGATGGACTTGGGACCCAGCAGGTCTGAAGTGGTGTATTGTGGAGATGCTTCCTGATGCACCTGTGTTTGCTGACTGAGAACCTTTTTCTTCACCTTGTACGCTTGACAGCTGAAAGATCTTAATATGGGAGTAATCATGAGGCAAAAATATAAAATAAAGTACTGTTTTGATGTGGGAATTGTCATGAGGCTGTGTTGAAGTGAATTTACTATGTGGGATATTCGTTACCATTGGAAAGGACTTGTTCAGCCATGCTGCCATTTACATTAATGACTATTTTAATGCAACAGACACTTTCCTCATGTCAGGTGACTAAACGTGAATAAAGACTCATTGCTATTGGATTTTTGTTCTACAAGAAACATTGTCTTGTGCCATTAGTTTATCTTTGCAGCAACAAGGGCATTATTAAGCATCTGGCTCTCCTGTTTCCTGCCCTGTTCCTTCATATATTACCTTGCTTTTTTTTTTTTTTGTCTCCATTTTAACATCCATATCTTCATTTTCTCTAGTCTTGTACTGTCAGTTTATCGTGCATCTGTGACTTTGCACGGCACCACTTTTGCACAGCTTATAGTTATGTACGTTCTGATTCCTTGTCCCCACATGGATGTGGAAAGCTAGATGTAAAATAAATGTTAAACCTTAATTTTTATATATAAAAAAAAAATTGAACATGTAGTTTGGAAATGATTTATTCCGGTTTTAAATTATGAAGATGAACTTTTCTTTAAAGTTGGCTTGAAATTAAGAAAACCAGGCTGTCTTTAATGGTGCATGCCTCACTGGAATGACGTGTTTACAGGTTTGTTTGTGAAGCTGCAGTTTGTGTAGTATTTCTGCCTTGCTAACCAAAGGTTTTTACTTGTGCTGGTTCTCTGAAATTGAATATACTTGAAATGCAGCTGCCAAATAGCATTGCAGTTGAGGTAAAAGTATGTATCTGTAACCTGGCAAATATGTTGCTCTTACCTCTGTGGTAATTGTGTTAATATAGTGCTTATTACTTTGTTATGGAGCCATAGCCACTGAAATTACGATTGTGATCAACTAGGAAGATGTGAGATGAAAGGCACCAAACTTTGTAAAACTCGAGGTGTGGATGAGGGAGGTTCAGGAAAGAAGATAGTAAAATGTGGCATGGAAGATGGAAATCTTGCCTGGACTGCTGTGTATTTCTCATGTACTCCTTGTTGGTAGGTATGTGATATGGAAAGCATGTATTTTGATGGAAGAGTGATTGGTGAATTGTAGATGTTGTAGGTGTTATACATGTGTGCCAGATAATATGCTGTTATGCGATGGGAAATAATAAGTGTTCTGTCCTGAAAGCAGTCTTGGGTAGTGTGTAGGCTTCCCCTGAAGGTGTACTGGGGCTCAATCTTAAAAGCAGGGGGTGCTGAGGAAAGAAACTGGCTTGCGTGAGCCCAGCAAGAAATGGAAGAATTCAAGAACTGCCAGAACAAAAAGGTTAATTAGTGATTACCTCAGTAAGTCTTTCTACAACAAGTCCAGAAGGTTGTGGTTGTCCAGCAGTTGTTAGTGAAACATACGGAGCAACAAAAAGTATGATCTGAGCTTGTGAAAACTGGGGGTTTTGGGAAGCATTGAAGCTGAGTTGTCCTGCCCAGCTGTATTAGAAAATTTAGTTTAGGATGCCAAAGAGAATAATAGCTTCAGCTCATTAGTCAACTCCATCCTAAAAGTACTGAATTGAACAAAATCTCTTTTTGTAAATGGCTTTTATTTGAGGGTATTTGTAGAAAACAAAGATGTTAAAAGCAAAGTATTTCTGAAACAAAAGTGGTTTTAAGCAGATGACAAGAATACAATCTGATTACTTTGGAGGGATGGAACTGCAGTCTGGCAATTGATTAAAAGACAACTGGTTAATGTAAGTGTGTAAACTGTACCAGTCCTGTTAGATTTGATAACTGCTTAGGCAAAAAAGAATTAGCATTAATTAGTTTGACTTGATCATTTAAACATTTGCAACCAGAAATGTGCTAATTAACTTTTTAGTCTTTTCTACAATCTCTATCAATTGTTCTTAAAGTTTTAGTTCAAATGCTTCACTATTATAAGAATATCTCTTATCTGCATCATAATCTGAAGCAGATTCATTAGGCTCATCAATTGTGGACCGAAAATTTATTCTGAATTGCTATCAACAAGTCTTTAATAGCACTTAAAATACTATAAAGGTTGGAATTCAGTTGAAGATCTTTTTCTGTTTATAGGTTTAAAAAAAAAAAAAAGCATTGTACCTTTAAAGGGCTATACTAAGACAGCTGGTTATGTTAATGGTTGGCATGAAACAAACTGGCGTAGGAACAGGGGAATAGGGGAATGAGGGAAATAATCCATGATCAATGAAAGTTTCTTAAGGTACAGAGATTATTTCATTGGAACATGGGCCACACTATAATCCCCTGAAGGTGAAGGTAATCCCCCCAGCCCTCTCTATTTCCTTAAAAAAAAAAAAAAAAAAAAGCCCGCTGTTTGCTGCAAATCTTTGTGTTGTTGAAATGATGCTATTTTTACCCTAGTGCCTTCAACATAAAATAGCATACATTGGAGAAATGTATTTTCACCTCGATAGGCAATTGCATGTTTAAAAAGTAGTTGGAATTAGGACTAAAGTATTATAAAGGCCTATACTATGGGAACAGTGCAGGAGCAATGCAGAGAAAGCAGGGTAAAGCAGGAAACAAAACTGCAAGTGGAAAGGTATGAAAGGTGAAGATGTTCTGCCTGTGTCATTGTGAAGTGCGAATATATTGTTGTCAATTTCTGTAATATGAAGTCAAATGGAAGCTCATCTCTGTAATTTTAAGTGTCCAAGTTAGCCTGTTGAAGAATATAACTTCAAACTTCACTTTAGGAAGAATTAACTCAGGGTGTAGATAATTGAACTTTTGTAGATGTGTGTATGGAATATTTCATAAGCCAGTGTCTTCAAAGGCAACCAAAATCTTCCATTGAAGCAAGGAACTGCAAGATGCAGCCATGTGTACTGCATATGGCATGAATTTAGAACCCCTTAGTCGCTGACTAATTTGTGAAGGTAAATAGTAAAGATGTATCATAGCTTTGGTGTTTAGTACAAAGCTGTCATTTCTTTGGGAAAGAATGCTCTTTTGCTGAAATAACATCTACAGAATTTCCACCATGTTGTTAATCCTCCTCTGATAACAAATGCAGTAAGATTAACTGATGTATAGATAGCTTAGAAATGCAACAATCTGATTAGTATCAGCTTGCTTGCTTTCCTCTTTCGCAAGAATTGGGATGCTTTTATTGGAATAAGGGGTCCAGGTCTCTTTGTCAGATCTCTTGGTTTTTGTTCTTGAAAGAGCATTGAGGAAAATATCAGTGTTAGCTGTTGCAGAAGGTCTTGGTTGACAACCTTAGCAGACATCAAGACAACTTCCAGAATGTGGTGCTGATAGAATGCTACTGGTATAGAATGGGTGAGTTCTGGCTGGAGAATTGAGTACTTGGAACTGACGTTAAAATCTTGATGTCTTAAGGTCTTGCTTCTCTTTAGGATCTGTCTGGTCTAATTGATACGTGCCTTGAGAATTTTCAGGTACAAATTTTGTTCAGCTTTTTGCACCTCTATTCTTCCACCTTGCCCTTCCTCTTTTCTCCTTACTTTGTAGCCCATGAGAATTTCATCCTTGAATTTCAGGAGACATCTTTTAGAACACAAAGTTCTCGCTCCTGAGAGGTGGTTGCTTCGTTGTTTGGTTTTAAAGGCCAGAGGAAAACCACACAGTTGAAAACAAGATGCCAAGTGAAACGTAGGACATTTAGAGGAGTCTTTATTGGTTCAGTTGTACTGTGATCTGAACAGAAAATCTTAATATGTAAGCTTATAAAATGAGCCTGTATTACATATATTTTTATATAGTAAGCCATTGTGTAATTCTGCAAGTTTCTTATTCCATTGTGCACACAAACCCCCTGAAAGATACAGGGTAAGTGTGGCTCTCTAGATGATTCTTTTGCACTGTTATGTTTGGGGTTTTTTTCAGTGTAGTAATCAATATTGTATTTGCTTTAAGAGTTATAAATTCTTTGGGATACAGTTACTTTTGTACAGCTGTAGGTGCTTAGCTTTGCATAAATAGTGGGTTTCCATACACTCAGAAAAGTGAAGTTTTGCATTGATAGGTGCCAGTGTTATAAAACGGAAGACAGCGTTCTCCATGGTTTATCTGCAAAGTGTTAAACATGTAAGCCAACGCATGTACTTAAATACATACAATTTTTACTAGTGTAAGCCTTCTTTGACTTCAGTTTTGTAGCATAGAAATACTTTCATTTTGGGGCTAATGGTTTGCTTGAGAATGAGCTCTAAGTTCAGCAGCAATCTGCTATGGGACAAATGCAGATACAGAACCCAGTCAGTATAAGAGGTAAAACTTGAGTCAGTTGAGTCTGACTGCTTTCTATTGCTAGTTATATTAACTGCTCTTATCAATGTTTTTTACAGTTTGAGTTGTATTTCAAGAAGATATCCCTAAGTCTTGTTTGCATAGTGAGTTATGTTTCCTGAGAAACCATTCCAAATTCATTGGAAGCTACATTTCGAGGTAAGGTTACCCCCTCACAAGCACTTGAATTAGATGGGAGGTAGATGCCTGTTACTTAGCTAGGTTTTTTTCAACTTCCTAAGTGTTACCTCTTAAACTCAGAATTACCATTTTGGTGCTAAGGATGTGAATTTTCAATTTTCTTTTTGGTTATAAATGGAAAATAATTGCATTCTGTTTGGATTAATTGTAGATTATGTGAGAAAAGGTGGTGCTTTGACATAATACAAATAACCCATTCTTTGTGTAATATTCTTGGAGACACTGACACAGCTGACATAGAAGAATACTACAGGATTTCAGAAGAAAAAACTGATGAGAAGACAAGCTTCTGGAAAGCCATTGCTTTCAAACTTCTGGATACCAAGCTATTTCATGGAAATCAAGTTTCTTTAATTAAATTTTCTTGAAGTAATTTCTTTGAAAGAGCTATGTCATCTTACTGGACGTGCATAGCTATCATGCTGTACTTTACTAAAACAAAAACCTAATAACAATAAGCAACCTCATCAACAACTAGAAGAGGAATATGAAAAATGAAGTTGTCATTAGCTGAAGATAGAACATCTGTAGTTCACTGGAC